TGCCACTTTGTAAGTACAGTTTGTACTCATGAAAAGAGAGGCTGGACTTTCGAAAATGTAACCTGAACTTCAAATGTGAGGCTGCCTGGTAATTAAAGGCAAACAGCAGTGAAACAAAAGACTGTAAAAAACTCAACACCTCAGCTCAACGTATGGTTAATATGAATATGTCAAACAACCCCTTCCTGTAATTATGGATGGAATAGATAGGCCAAAGGTCCTAACAGAACCCAGTCACTATCTAGCATTACATAATCTTAATGTCTGAGGTTTGGTATAGAGAGACCTCAGCTTGCTTAGTGCCATGGAAAATGCATCATTAAAATCCTTTGAACTGTTCATTAAAGATACAGAACACAAGGAAATACAGTTAAAGCATCTGAAATGTAAAATATTCAATAAGTCTTCATTTTAACATTTTGTGTTCCCTTTCCTTTCAGCTGTAGAGATTTTAGAAGGGAAAAAAACCCTTGTTCCAGTCTCCTAGATGGTATTAAATATGGTAACAACTGTTTTTAGGGGAAAAGAAAAGAAGCTGGCTTAGATAAGCTAAAGCTGCTGCTGTTCCTGTTGTCACTGTGATCCCAAACTGCCCTTTTAAATAATAAGTTAGTTGAGATGAACTGCTGCTGTTAAAGTCTGGTCCTATTTCACCCAGGGTGTAGTCTGGATTTCAGCTGGAGCGGATAGGGTCCATGATGTCATCTGGATCATTTTCTCTGGTATAATATGGGCAGGACACCCCCTCAGGAATAGGCCAAAGAAACTCTGAGGTCCCAGGAGACAGTGGGGGTGGCACCCATGATAATGAAGCTTCAGTAGTCTCCATCTGTTCTTCATCTAAAAAAAATCTCAGTTTAAAGACCCACAAAGAGAATGGTGGGTGGAGTAGCCCATCCCCTCATTATTTTGTCCACCAATTAGGCTTACTATGTCGCATACCAATTTTGGTTCATTAACTTCCAGCTCTGTATTATCTATATCTAACAAGATTAATTTCAACAGTCTTTAGACTATATCAACCTGGACTTTTTGGTTTAAAATAATCCAATTTCTCTTTCCGGTTTTCTTGCACAAGTCCCATCAACATTTGTTAATATAGGTTATCATGATATATTACAAACTTACATTTTTTTTTTAACTTTTAAACTCTCAATTAGGGTAAATTTGTAAGTTCAATTGTCACAACACTCCCTCACTCTCCTTCCCATTCCTGGTTTTACCCATTTGAGCAACAAAGGCATTAAGCAATACACGGTGCCTATAAATAACAATGGTTCAAATGGTCCTCTCCGGTGCACCATCTGGAGGGGAATAAAACAAACCCCTGGAATAAAGGTCAAGGGAAAGTAAGTGGAAACTACACCATTTCCTTCCTAACTCTGAGAAAGTTCACCCACAAAATCAATGTTGGCCACACACCTGAGATTTCTAAGGCTCGAACAGCAGCAACTCCAGAAGTTATATGGATAGAGAAGGGTCAAAGATCAGAAAGAAAAAAATCAAATATATATGATTTGAGATTACAGAATGACAAAGGACCCTAAATAAAATTTACATAATTTTATCTGCTTTTCTAGGTTTTTGCTTCCCCCCATTCCTCGTTTTCTCCCATAGTTTACTGCTCTGCTCCCTGCTACCAGCTTGCTCATTGTCCCACTCCATATGCAAAAATTACAAGAACTCTTGTCAGTTTCACTTTGCTACTTAGTTAGCACAGGATGCAGAGCAGAAAAGGGGAAAAGACTAAATTACCTGAATTACACTTGGCTGCTCTGCTGGATGGACTGGCAGACCCAAATGAAACTGACAAGAGATCTTGTAAATGTCAATTTGCTGCTCTGCTGGCACATGGAGTAGAGCAGAAGGAAGACGGCAAAAGGCAAAGAGAATCTCCAGAAGGTTCTGGGTGCTACCTGGGGAATAAAGCCTGCTTGGTCAATGAATTCAATGCTTTCCCCCACTGACTGATTAGCCAAAGTCATAGTGAGGCTTGCAACATGGTCCCCCTTCATGACCTCCAGTTGGGGCTGTGAACTAAAGGCAAATTCTATATAAGGTACTACATTCTATATAAATCTATTACTTCTCCTTTAAATAATCAAGAGCTGAGACTTATGCATATTCATAATAAAAACTCAGGGCTTGATCTAGTCCCAAGAACCACAAGTTTTCTGATAGAATCTAAGATGCCCCCTCTTCTCCATGATGAGGCAGCTGAAGCGAGGACAAATCCTCCCACTCTACAAAAGGCTAGGACTGGAATTCTTCAAGTTCAAATTCATGGCATTTCTGGTCTCCTACATTCTTATTTCCCATACAAGAAACAATTTTGCTCTGAATCTTGGGGAAACAGGGCAAGAGAGAGAGAGAGAGATTGCTTGAAGATTCCTTGTTCTGTTCACTCCCTCTGGGCCAACTGGCATTGGCTACTGGCAGAAGACAAGATATTGGGCTAGATGGACCTTTGATCTGACCCAGTATGGTCATTCTTATGTTGGTTCTCTTTACACTGTAGAGATGAACAGAATAAAAACTAATTCCAAAGACAGTACTAACAGCCCAAAGCATTCAGAAATCATAAGCCAATTCCAAAAAATAATTAGATTAAAAAATAAATACACTTAAGGTTGTTTTTATTTGCCTTCTGGGTTTTGAGTACAGAGGGTTAGCATTTACAAGCTTTTGCCTGAAACCCTGATTTACTTTTACAATTTACTTTTGTTTTTTAAATGAAAGCTGAGATACTCAAATAATCAGATGACTTCAAGAGCAGGGGCTTATTGAAAATTCTAAATAGCACAAGAGTTGTAATAAAATTGCAAGAGTTGGCAACATAACAAAGGGCATGTTTATACTGGAATAAAAGATTTGCAGCAGGTCTATGGCTGTTCCCAGTGAGTTGGCCCAGGCTCATAAGGTTAAAAATTACAGTGTAGACTAGTGTTTCCCGATTTTATTTGGCCACGGAATCCTTTAAAAAAATGCCGGGGGAAACTGGTTGACCAAAAAAAAAAAAAAAATCCTGCCAGCCCGCCCCTAAGACCAGCTCTGGGGGGAGGGATAGCTCAGTGATTTGAGCATTGGCCTTAACTGGCCAGGGTTGGGAGTTCAATCCCTGAGGGGACCATTTAGGGATCTAGGGCAAATTGGACTGGACTCAATGACTTATCAAGGTCCCTTCCAGCTCCATGAGATAGGTATAAGGTTCTCACAGAATCCCAGGGTTCTGCAGAGCACTGTTTGGGCTACACTTATTTTTTGCCCCACAGCCCATGAATCATGGGGAGGGTACATTTACACTGCAATTAGAAACCCACAACTGCGTGTGCTAATTGACTCCAATTCCTGGGTCTTGGGCCGCAGGGCCCTTTAACTGCTGTGTAGACATCTATGTTCCTTTGGTGCAAGGGGCATGACCTGTGTATGTGTAAGCGGGGGAATGGTCCCGCTCTTGTGGGGAACTTTCCTGGCTTCTATACACCCCGGTGGAATGAACCAGCGAAAGGATCTGAGTCCCCGCTCCCACTTCCTTTACCCCACGGCTCCCTGATCCTGAGGGCTCCCCCTCCACTCTCCTGAGTAGCAGAGCCCTTGAAACCCCAACAAGGCTGGGCCCAGGTTTCCTGGGGCTTAATCCCTGACCTTGTAGTCACTAGGGGCAGGAGTTAGGGTGTCCCCACTCCGAGGTGCTCTCTTTACACTGCAGGCCTTCTTGGCCCAGTGATCACTTCATAAGGTTCAAAGCAAATACAATTTATTAAACATCAACTGATTAAAGAGAATAGAATAAGAAACAATGAGAATGGTTAAATGAGAACACACAGCCCTGCTCTGTAGCACAGGGACATCAACACAGCAGTCTGCAGAGTGTAAGGACAGTTCACAGTCTCTTCCTTAGAAGCCCTGGATGTGCTGCAAGGGGCTGCAGGCTGGACACACTTGCACTGGCAGTGACCACACAGCCTCAGTCTCTAAGTGGCCAGACCCCTCTCCCAGTCCAGAGCCTTTCCCCACACTTTGCAGGTCCCAGTAGCTCACCACATCCAGCTGCAGGCTGTGCTGCTTGGCCAGTTCCAGCTCCTTGTGTTGTTTCTCTGTTCCTTTTGGCTTTCTGAGCACTGCCAGTCTGCTGCTCAACACAGGGTCTGCACTGCTTGGCCTGTCTGTGTCTGGTTCTGTCGCTGCAGGACTTCTTCTTGTACTCCTCTTTCAGCTCTCTGTCTTTGCAGGACCTCTTCTGCACACAGCTTGTTTGTTCAGAGACAGAGCCAGAACAATCCCCACTTACAACCTGTCAGTCA